CAGGCAGAAATAAATACCATGGGTGAAAATAAATAAGGTAAATAAATACAAAGGAAGAATAAAACAGACAAAAATATTAAAACACACACATAAATAAATACATTAAAAAAATTAGTAATAAATAAAGTTGAATAAACAAATAAGTAATTATAACAAAGGTGAATAAGTAAAGGCACTAATTAAAATATATACATTTATGTCTCCTTGTATAATTTAATTACTACCTACATTTATTTATTTACTTTATTTTTTTGTGTATTTAATTGGATGCTTATTTATTTATTGAGCATTTATTTATTTCTGTATTTATTTCTGACTGTGTCAGGATCGGTCCTCCATAGCGGGGTGGGAGAGTTATCAAGCACGTAAAGTTTGGTTCAGATGTGAGCATGTACACTGAAGTTACAACAACTTCCTGTGTCATGGCGAAGACTTGATCTCTGACGCCACGCCACGGACACACCCATTGACGAAAACTCGCAAATAGCACAACTTTTCATCTTCAATGCCTTTAGAAGGCACAGCACAAATTTGAAGTCGGTCGGACTAAATCCCTAGGAGGAGTTCGTTAAAGTACGAAGTGTGTAAATCATCCAAAATTTGACGTAAAATTCAAAATGGCCGACTTCCTGTTGATTTTAGGGCATCGCTCCAAGAGGCTTTTTTGTGCGTCTGGACAAGATACACGTACCACAGAAAATTCGTGCACGTAGGTAAAACGTGCGGCGGGGGCTGCTTCGTTAAAAGTCACTTCCTGTTGCCAGCAGGTGGCGCTATGACTGTCTGTGAATGTCAGCATGTACATGTGTTCAGGGCGGGACTCTCATCCTACATGTACAGTTTGGTCCAGATGTGAGCATGTACACTGAAGTTACGACAACTTCCGTGTCATGGCGAAGAGCTGATCTTTGACGCCACGCCACGGACACGCCCATTGACGAAAACTTGCAAATAGCACAACTTTTCATCTTCAATGCCTTTAGAAGGCACAGCACAAATTTGAGGTCGGTCGGACTAAATCCCTAGGAGGAGTTCGTTAAAGTACGAAGTGTGTAAATCATCCAAAATTTGACGTAAAATTCAAAATGGCCGACTTCCTGTTGATTTTAGGGCATCGCTCCAAGAGGCTTTTTTGTGCGTCTGGACAAGATACACGTACCACAGAAAATTCGTGCACGTAGGTAAACGTGCGGCGGGGGCTGCTTCGTTAAAAGTCACTTCCTGTTGCCAGCAGGTGGCGCTATGACTGTCTGAATGTCAGCATGTACATGTGTTCAGGGCGGGACTCTCATCCTACATGTACAGTTTGGTCCAGATGTGAGCATGTACACTGAAGTTACGACAACTTCCGTGTCATGGCGAAGAGCTGATCTTTGACGCCACGCCACGGACACGCCCATTGACGAAAACTTGCAAATAGCACAACTTTTCATCTTCAATGCCTTTAGAAGGCACAGCACAAATTTGAGGTCGGTCGGACTAAATCCCTAGGAGGAGTTCGTTAAAGTACGAAGTGTGTAAATCATCCAAAATTTGACGTAAAATTCAAAATGGCCGACTTCCTGTTGATTTAGGCTATGGCTCCAAGAGGCTTTTTTGTGCGTCTGGACAAGATACACGTACCACAGAAAATTCGTGCACGTAGGTGAAACGTGCGGCGGGGGCTGCTTCGTTAAAGGTCACTTTCTGTTGCCAGCAGGTGGCGCTATGACTGTGGGTGAATGTCGGCATGTACATGTGTTCAGGGCGGGACTCTCATCCTACATGTACAGTTTGGTCCAGATGTGAGCATGTACACTGAAGTTACAACAACTTCCTGTTTCATTGCGAATCATCGACGCCACGGACACGCCCATTGACGAAAACTCGCAAATAGCACAACTTTTCATCGTCAATGCCTTTAGAAGGCACAGCAGAAATTTGACGTCGATCCGACTAAATCCCTAGGAGGAGTTCGTTAAAGTACGAAGTGTGTAAATCATCCAAAAATGGCCATAAAATTCAAAATGGCCGACTTCCTGTTGACTTTAGGCTATGGGTTCTTGAGGCTTTTTTGTGCGTCTTGATACGATACATGTCCCCAGAAAATTTCGTACATGTAGGTTGAACGTGAACGAGGGGCTAATCATTTCCAATTTTCAGGTGGCGCTAGCGAGTCATTTTGCCACGCCCATGTGCGAAACTTGTAGAATACGAAATTTTTCACCGGTTCTGACATGTTTGCAAATTTTGGTGAGTTTTCGAGTATGTTTAGGCCATGTCATTTGGGCCTACTTTGCAGAAAAAAAAAAAAAAAAAAAAAAAAAAATCCGAGCAATTCAATAGGGACCTCGCACGGTCGTGCTCGGGCCCTAATAATCCGAGCAATTTCAATAGGGACCTCGCACGGTCGTGCTCGGGCCCTAAAAATAATCCGAGCAATTTCAATAGGGACCTCGCACGGTCGTGCTCGGGCCCTAATTAATGTTAGCACTTACATTCACCACATGCAAATCTGGCAGCTATCTGGCTGTCGGGGAACATGGCTGAAAAAGCGGGCTTGTGTCTTCACATGACTTGTAGGAATATTGAAAATTTGCAACCTTTAACTCCCACAGTACCTCTGAAGTTAGGGTTTTGTTCCTGGACACAGCACATGAAATGGTCCCTTGTTTGACAGTGGACGAGAAGGAAACACTGTAGCTGGCAGCGGGTCACCGGGGTGAAAAGGCCGTGATGCGGTTTAGAATTGATTCAATAGCAGAAGCAGCAGGACACCTTTAGCATGGCTAGCTAGCACTGCCTTGCCAATGCTTGAAATGTTGAATGTTTTAACTACACAGTCCACATTTTGCACGTCCTGTTCCTTCTCAAGCCATGCCTTGTACTTGTCCAAGTGAAGCTAGACATTATTAAATTGGCATTTTCCTGGCATTGTGCAAATTTACATCTCGTCAAAGTAAGTTAACTTTACAAAGTGTAACTCAAGTCTGACATTACCCCACGCAGAGAACAACATAAAGAAACGTGTTGTGACTGATCTGCCCAAACATGAAAGTATTGTTGAACCAATATAGATTTTTCTTAACTAAACCACATATCATACAGGTATCTGAAGAAAATGTCCACCTTCTGTTTGTTTTATTTTTCCAAACATTATCCAGGCCTGGAAATTGCTATTTTCAAGGCTTTTCATGGCTTTTCCATGTTTTCATGACCGTGCAATTTAGCATGGTTTAAATACCACAGCCCACCTGAGTATTGTTGTTGACCATGTGGCCACGGTCTACCTATCTTCTAATGGCTACTTTGAGAAAAATATTTGGTCACAAAGCACACTGCTGGTTCCACCAACATGACAGTGAGTTCAGCGTACTTCAATGGACTCCATAGTCACCAGACCTCAATCTCACAGAGCACATTTGGGATGTGGCGGAACAGGAGATCTGCAACATGTCTATGGGAGTGTTATTTGGTATCAGTTAACAGCAACGCCTAGTGGCCGATTAACACCAAAATATCATACAGGTCCTCAGGGCTCCGGTGGGAAGTAACGTACTAAGTTTGGTTTCAATGAGCCATATGAATCAGAGCTCTGTTAAACCACCATGTAATGTTTTATTGCTAGCACAATCACTGTCCTTGGGAAGTAGAGGTGATGATGATTACTAGTTAATGTATGAAAATGACCGTTTCCCCCATAATTTCTTTCGCTGATCGCAACCACCACTTCTTACTGTAGGTGATGATCCTGTTATTTTCATTACATAGTTTGAAAAACAACAACCTGCACACAAAAGACATAAAAATAGAGGTGAAACGAGCTGCAAACTGCATTCAGAAGCTCTTAGTTCCACTATACATACTGTGCTTCCCCTAGAGAATTTACCAATGTAGGAAAATTGGAGCAATCTGAACCTGTTACGCCTGCAACTGGGACATCTCTGCTTAATAACATAATGATTGATGAAAAATTAGACAAGAAGCTCATAATTACATAATTGGTAACACACTGGCACTGATCCCCTAGGCCACTGTGGATTAACATTTTCAGCTATGATACTGAAGCTATACCAAGCACAAAATACACAACTCTAAAAAACATTCAATTTCTGAGCTAATCAATTAAATTCCCTCCTTTCCTGTAGTTTTTTGATGTTCTGTCCAGATGAACAGTGTTGTTCTTGTGCGGCTAAGGATTCAGTAGCGTCCTGTTGGCTCCACTGGCTATGGTCTGTATGTTTAAAATAATATTTAAGTGACACAGGCTAAAGGCCCGTTTAGTCTAGCAATTTCAGTATTGTGCAAGAGGAAATGGCATGTATGTTGAATACTGCAATGCATGGGATGTCCTGGGATGTAGTGTCAACAAAGTAAGGAAAATAAACAAAGTTAACAACTGAATGAAAAATATGAAAAGGTGATGACTACCATGAAAACCACTGCCACGTTCCAAATACCAGTGATCAACACGCACCAAAAGCAAACTTTATGTAATCGTATCAATAAATTGTCTAAAGTTTTTACAATACAATTTTTAAGATGCAACACTGGATTGTGTCTTTAGGTCTTTAAAATAAAACAAACAAAGACAGATAAAACAAAGAAGGAGGATACACTAACAGAGGATTGAGATACACTGAGTGCTGCTATGGTCCCATGCCGGGTTTTTACGGTTGTACAAGATTGCCATCTGGTGGTAAAAAATCAGTGTTAATGAAGGCAATCTGAACGATATCTGTTGTTTTAATGCTATTGCAAATGTGCATTTGTGTGTTTGTGCCAGCATCTTTGACAGAGTCTTGGAAAAGAGTTTGTCAAATAGAATAGAAAAAGAACAATGCACAGATAAAACAGAAATGTTTAAACAAGTATTTGGGGCTTTGGGGGGGGGTGTTAAGATGGAACTATTTCTTGGAAAACAACAGCCAGGTACAGTGCAGACTGTGCACTGTTACAAAATCTTGTAATGACACCCCCCCCCCCCAAAAAAAGAGTTGTGCTTATTGTATTCCCCTGATATAGTCTTTGTGCTAAGCTAAATATCCTGTTTCCAGCACCACTTTCTTAAAATGTTGCACTATTCCTTTAATACATAAATATAAAATTTATTTCTACAAGTTGTTCCAGCCCAAGCCTCATCTAAAACTTCTTCTGTGGTGATATTCTAAAATAATGCTGCCATTAGGAGGGGAGTTTACATGATCCTTAATGCATATAAATGACTGGCTTTCTGGTTGGAGCGCAATTTTACTCTGGTTATTCATCAGAGCTCTCATTATACAACATACTTATGTAAATATTACATTGGTACAAAGGTATTCTATCCTCAATATGTTCTTGGTAAAATTACCATAATGTTGCATCAACCTTCATTAGAAAACCTGTCAGGGCTAAGATTAACCATGATACATTTTTTACAAGTGTTCTTTATCCACTCTTTAACCTGGTATGTATATTCCTTCAGCACTGTGCATTGTGTCTTGGGAAACCTGTGTTTTTGTGTGTCATGTGTTCCTATCCTCTTACCCAGATCCAGCCTCTGGGACAGTGAGCCCAGCCCCTGAAGTACAGCCAGCTGCAGTTTGTAGACCAGGGTGTGTGTGTAGACAGGTCCGGCCTTGGCGCTGGTCGGAGCTTGCCGTGCCAGTGAGGAGCTCAGCTTGGGCAGAACCTCTTTAGAAACCCTCCTCCTCAGAAAGTCACCACATGTTTCACCCAGTGTACACAGCATCTGGCAAAGAGACTCAGCATGTAATGTATGTACTGTATGCAGCAAGAAGTCAAAATGTAATAGAATGTCCCTGTAGTGTGTCCTTCATTAAAAAATCTGAGATGAACCATATTATTTACAAAACCTGGACATACCCAGAGCCTGCCATATTGCTGATAGAGATAGAATAGTTTGCCGGCAATATTACTGAGCAAATAAATTACCATTTACATACCAGTTGTGTCTATTTTTGTCGATTCTTCAGTGAAAAATGAAAAGTAACATAAATAAAAATAGTTCAACTAATGACAGGTTTTCACAAGTAGACAAAATTACACTGCAGTGACATGTAGAATCAATTGACATACCCTGAAGGCTCTGAGGACTGCTAAAGGGTCATCAGCTGTGAGTCTCTGTAGGAGGGCAGGCCAGCAGCGATGGGCCATAGGCAGCATCTCATTTTCCTTCTCACTGAGTACACGCACACATAGCTCCAGCACATCCAATACCTTAAGATAAAAACATGCAGTACACCCATTAATATATATATATATTTTTTTGTGAGTGTAAGAACACCACGTACATGTGTAAAGGTAGCTTTTGAGTGATGTTACACAAGCTTTGAAGGCCATATTGGAGATCCAAAGATCCTGGGTAACAATGTTAGGAAATACTTGCTTTTTTAGAAACCTGTTTCAGAATTGTGAAGAGGGGGGTACTTTCCATTTAGTTTCTTACTATGGAGTGATTTATTACTGATACATCTAAGTTAGCCTAAGTTAGTCATCTAAGTTTGGTGTGGGAGACCCGGGTTAAATTCCCACTGAGATAAATCCACCAGTGTGTCCCCGTGCAAGACACTTAATCCATAGCTGCTCCAGTGGCATACCACCTCTGGCATTTCTAGCAATTGTAAGTCACTTTGGATAAAAGAATCAGCTAAATGACTAATTATTATTGTAATTAATTATCTGTTTATTCGCCTCGCTGGTGAAGTGGGGCTAGAGATGACTATTTGGATGGATTGTTATGAAGTTTGGTTCAGATATTAATGGCGCCGACACAATGAACTCAACGTCTTTGGTGAATCCACGGCTTTTTCGACTAGCACCCACGTTATACTAGTATTAACTCTTAATGAGGTTACTGTGGTTTCTGGCAACAATTTTCTTATTTGACGACATTTGCATACTAAGAATAGAGCTATGTTTCCTCTTGTTGTCAGCAGGTCATTGATTGTTATCATGGTAACAGAGCCTACAGCTCAGAGTTAGCATGGGGTGGCTAACTAAAATTAGTATTTTTTGTAAAACTCATCTTAGACTAGTTTGACTGCAAAGCTATCACTGGCCTAAAACTATAGACCTGGCTTGTCTTTGTACTCTACTTGGCACTCTTTGGAACATGCTTCTTGCCAAGTCTGCAATTTTGGAGAAGGATGACATGGAGCTGTGCTAGCTAACTAGTGTGTGTTGTGGGTGAATATATGCAGTCAATTCTCTATTGGATAGTCATGATGGTATCCTGTGTGGCTGGGATATTTGTCACACCAATACAAAGCCACAGTGTAGAGACAAAACTAAATTCTTTCTCATCAACAATCCCTACTAGGT